CAAATACCTGGGGAGTTATGTCAATTTTCCAGTAGGTCTTGTCGAGTGAAGTAAGAATCGAAATATGAAATGTGCCAAACACCCCTAAAGTCTTGACGTACCGTTAAAAGATCGGGTTTATATTCGCGAAACTATGGGTAAATTATAGTAAAACTGCGTACTTAGTTTTTCCCTTTGACGCCAGGATTTTTTTTAAAGGACTTTGAGATTAAAAATATGTCGTCCTTTAAAATATCGTCGTTTAAAGTACAAAACCGCGTATCGCCATTCTGCAAAACCGCGTAACTGGCATTAGCTGCCAAAAATTGGATTTGCTCAAACAAGCTCTTGGCTCAATCGTTATCCATTCGTCCTGAAATATACTAGCCAGATATGCGATTGCTTTAAAAAAAAAGAAAACCATTTTGAAATATGAGTGTTTTTACACTCTAGAAAATAATTTCTACAACTTCACATACGCGGTTTTGCATTTTGTTGATACGCGGTTTCGCGCTTTAAACGACGATATGATTATTGAAAAAAATTATTAAAAAAGGAGCAGTCGAACGCCTTCGTCTTGATCTGCAGGCTGTATCGGCACAGCCGCTAAATTTAAACGTAGAATACGTGGTATTGTTAAGAGCACATCCAAGTCAAAAACGAAAGCACACACTAAGAAAAAAATATCGATAACAAAAGCGGTAATAATATCGATAGCAAAATCGATAACAAAATCGGTAAAAATATCGATAAAAAAATCTATAAAAATATCGATAACAAAATCGATAAAAATATCGATAAATAAATCGATAAGAATATCGATAACAAAATCGATGAACATATCAATAACAAAATCGATAAAAATATCAATAACAAAAGCGATTACATCTATAAAAAAATCTATTACAAAATCGATAAAAAATATCGTTTACTATATCGATAAGTTCAGAAAATAGCGATAGCAAAAGCAATAACAATATCGATAAAAATTTCGATAACAAAATCGATAACAAAACCGATAAAATATTGGTTATTATATCGATAAGTCCCAAGAATTCCGAAAACTCTAAAATCCCGAAATAGTCCCCAGATTGAGTCTCTGTCTATATCGTTTTCTCTATAATTACCTTTATTTTAACCTTTCTTCCTCTATCCTCATCTTTACTTTTATCGGTATCCTCATCCTCATATTTTTCTTTGTATTTATTTTTGTTTCTACTTTTATGTTTATCATATTCTTCATCTGCATATTCCCCTTCACCTTTGCCTTTTATAAATATTGCGCCATCTGTTATTCAAAAGCCGAAATACCTACACACATATACTTTTTGTCTCCTTCTCTCACTTCCAGCGCTTGCACGTGTTTCCAAAACGATGACGAAGTGATTTTGTATGGAAAATTATTTACGCCCATATATTTGAATCAAATAAACATACTTAGAAGACTTCCCATATCCTGTGTTATCAATTACACAGGTCCACAAAAACAAATCGATGAAAGGTTCCTTTGACCAAACCTAGTCTATCATGTTTTTGGGGTCGCTGAACACGAATCTGAAGTCCGTTTTGCTCCATCACGTCTAGATTTTTTCCTCACCTCAAAAAACACCTCGGATTTTCTCTGTCAGATTCGTGTTCAGCGAACCCAAAAACATATGATAGACTAGGTTTGGTCAAAGGAACCTTTTTTTTTGTGGACCTGTGTAATGAATGTCTTTGAGCGAAAAAATAAAACTCAAATATTAATTACACGGTTCGACAAAATTTGGTCGTTTTTTATCTCAAAAACGGGGCCGACCTCTTATAGATTTTTTTTAAGCTGATTTGAAGTGCATTTACTCAATTTTTCTAGCAGAAAGGGGTGAAAAATTAAAAAAATAACTTAGTAAAAAAAACACTAGCGAATAACATGGCGAACGATTTCACCAGGGCCAAATTCGCGAATCTTACGAAAAACGGTTTCAGAGTAACCGAAAATGGTTCCAGAAAAACCGAAAAAGCAACCAACCGACTAGCCAATCATCAATCGATACCCCCTATATTATGTGTAGCCCAAATTTCTGACATTTCCTCAAAATTTATTTATAATAATCGCATCCGGTTTCCCTCAAGAAAGTTTTGCTAAAAACAAACTATTCTATAAATAAAAAGCTTTTAACACAGACTAAATGGAATTCCATAGGCTCCCCCATCAAACTGAAGTGCAACATATTGCCTAGAAGTAGTAGGTATGGAGCAAATGTTGTAAGTAAATAACAACAACGGAACTAATAATAATAAAAACAACAACAACAACAACACAAGTTGTTGTCCCGCGATAACACATTCCTG